CAAGCGCAATCCTGCCGCCACATTGGCTTAGCTATTCTGGAGCTACCTCCACCGTGCCCCACAATGTCTTTATTCCTTCTGAGCAAGTCTACTAGGGGCCATCCTTGTCTCCAAGGGCTTGAGATCCAATCTGGTTGGCCAACATCAGGTTCTTGGAAACTCCGGGAACGTAGAACAGTGCTGAAGAACGATTTGATGGAGTGCAGACGTACTTGAGAGAGAGACTGAGAGAAGTACCAGCAGAGTGGCCTAAGCTGACCTGTGGGAGGCACCAGTGGCGGGGGGGGGGGGGGGGGGAGGGGCGGGGAGGCAGAAACTAATAAGCCACAGGCGATTTCCGCCTTTTTGACAATTTTGCCCAGGCACTATGTGCCCGGCCACCTCTGCAGGGAAAATGAGGCTCCCTGAACTGATCTCTGCTGGACACCTTTGGCCTCCTACGTTCTTCCCCAGCAGGAACCGTGCATATTTCTGCTGGCCTTCTGTTGGTGTCCATGTTAAACCTCTGGCTAGAGTATCCAAAATTAAGTGTTTATAACAGCCTGCTAGATTTCTTTGGGAAGAGTAATATATTTATGTATTTTACATGTATATACATTTAGAATATACACATTTAGATTACACACGTACATATATCATAGCCTTCGTTCTTCTTATGCCCATTTTATGAGGCTGGACTGTATTCTTATAAATCTAGACCTTTTCCAAGAAACCCTTGCCCTTTTTGTCCTTCTGGACTAAAAATGTAGAAAGGGAAGAATCACCATGTCATTGTTCAGACAGAACCAGAAATAATACTGACTTCAGAGCTGAACTTGGCCCCTATCAGAAGGGTTGCCTTACTTTTCTCATTATTTAGGGGGTGGGGAAGCCATCACATGCTTTCAAATGCATTTTAATGAATGTTCATGCGGTTGTGTGGATCACAGTGGTGGCTCTGCCTGCCTGCTTATGAAATGGGACTCTGCAGGCATTCGGGGATGGAGATGGTCATTCTTTTCTAAAAGATACCAGGGAACCTCCATCACTTCCCTGCCCCGCCCCGCCCCGCCCCCCCCACCCCCACCCCCAAAGGCTGACCTGTGAGGGCTCAGGCTGGGAGTTGGGACACCTGGGGTCTAGTGTTGTTCTTGTCCACTAACTAGCTGTGTGACCACAAGCAAATCACCTCCCATTCTGTTTTCTGTAAAAAGAACAGGTTGAGATGTGCTCTCTAGAAATCCTGCCATTGTCTACTGATTTACTTATTTTTTTCTGATTTGCTTATTATATTAAAAAAAAAAATCTCACAGCAGGACCATGTACAATACGTGGCCTGAGGAAAGAGCTGCTAGCTGGGACCAATAGTTTGCTGTCACAGAGTCCACAGGCTGGAAAACGGCACACGTGCAAAGCTGGAAGGGTTTTTTAGAAGGGTCTGGAAGCTTAGTGAGGGACCTGCCACCAACAACATGACGTTGAGAGGGAAGTCGTTCCAAACTAGCAGCTTCCGTTGCACTTGCTCTAAAATGGTGGCCTTGGGATTAGTCAGCACCACGCAGTGTAGTGACGCCGGCCTCAGCCAGGTGACCCGGCCAGGGCGCCAGTGTGGCACTGGTGGGGGGGGGGGGGGGGGGGGGGGGGGAAGCCCAGCTGGCTGTTTGACGGCACAACAGGAGGCATGGAAGCCAGCCTGTAGCTAGCTAGGGGCAGAAGCCAGTAGACCTCCATGCCTCGGCGAGCACCTCTGTGTGAACACAGCCGCCTTCCCCTGGCCTCGTGCAGGCTCAGCTGGGGCTCTGGCCATTCAGCCAGGGTGCTTCAGGCTGCCTGTTGAAAGCTCTCAGCATAAAACCCGAAACACGCGGGGCCGAGGCCTCCAACAAAGCCAAGTCTCTCTTAAGTCCATTGAAAAAGGGAAGCACAAAAGAGGCCCCCTGCCTGCCCTGTTGAAGCCGCGTCTCAGCCGGCACCGCCCCCTTCCCTGCACCCCAAGGCACAGCGAGGCCAGCCCGGCCCCTGATTGGGCATCCTCCCAAAGTGTCCAGTGAGGCGTCCAGCTGCCAGCTTCGAGCAACAAGGGCAGCCACCCACTCGGGCAAATTGGATTCGCCAGCAGTGGGCTAGCCTTCAACACCCTGCAGGGGCGCCCCGGGGTCCGCTCTGTTGTTGAGGAGCCGGCTGGGCCCCAGCATTGGAACTGAGCGGGGAGCATTGGCTTGGGGGCCTGAAGACTTGTACGCACGGGCCCTCTCATTTCGGAGAGTTAGAGACTGCTTTCCCTTGCCGGTGGTTCCTCCTGTGAGCTGTAGCATCCCGTGGTCGTGCCCAGCCTTCCCCCACCTCCCGCTACCCCGGTCCCAACAAAGTAACGGCAGACGAACAACTAAGGAAAAGGTCCAAGAACCCACAGAGTCTGCCAGGGATTCCAGGCTGCTACAGCTACACGGACTCCAGTGTCACTGCACCCATAATCACAGTCCACAAGCTCACCGGCAGCACACCGAGCCCAGCCACTGCAGGGGATCTGGGGTAACACCCGCCCTCACTCATCCCTTATTGATCCATTTCATCCATTTCTACTTCCAATATATTGGAATTCTTTGAACTCCTTGAGAGAATGTCGATGAAACGGAATTTCAGTTTGGGACTCAGTGACTCGTTTGTTGGCTGCCCCGTAATTGACTGAATGAATGGCCAGGAAAACATGTAGCAGAGCTCCCTGCGCGCCAGGCCATTTGGGTTCATTTGTCCGGTGATTCATTCAGCCGCTATTCACTGAACACTTGCTGTGGGCCGATACAGAGTCCACTGCCCCTGGATGGAAGAGTGGGCACAGATGAATGGATTGGCCTTTTCTTGTGCCTGCTCCCCCCCTCCCCAGCCCTTTCTTGCCGGCCCTGAGTCCCGAGGCCCCAGGTGGATTTGATGGCAGAGCTGCCCCTCAAAGTGCCCTTGTTCACGCTGCAGAGAAAAGGCAAAGACGGAGGCAAGTTCCCTCACTCCAGCTGGTGGGACCCCTTCTGTGGAAATGAGACAGTGTCCTGCCATCGGGGCCCTTCCCGTTCCCTGGGTATCAAGGCCCCTGTCTCACCTAGGACAGGGTTGGACTTCCAAGGCCCTTCCGTGGCCGCCCTTGGTAATGGCAGCCACCCGTTAGGGAGGATTTACTAGGCACCACAGAATCTGCTTCTTTTGCTTACTACTCAGAGCAGCACCATGAGATGATGCATTTAGAATCAGAATCAGCCCAGGAGCTTTGAAAACACTCAGATCCCTGGACTCTGCTCTGGATGAGACTGAAACAGTCCATTCGTGTGGGAGACCCTGGAAATCTGGATGTGTCTAAGTGAATCTGGTGAGCACCAAAGCCTGAGATGTGCAGCCCTGGGGGATCTCTTTTGATGTTCACTCTGTCATGAGAGTCATGGCCAGTGGGGTGCTAGCAGGTGGCCCCCCACACACATTGACCCTCCCCCCCCCACCAGTGAGCCAAACATGAGGGGACGTCAAAGGATCGACAACGAATGTCCCAGTGAGACTTCTAAAGCTAAACAGGGGTTTCTTACATGAAAAATTGCATCAAGAGAAATACAGTTGCCCCTTAAACGACACAGGTGTGAACTACACAGGTCCACTTATATGCAGTTTTATTCGATAAATACAGGACAGTACTGTAAATGTATGTTCTCTCCCTTATGATTTTCTTAGTAACGTTTTCTTTTTCTCCAGCTTACTTCGTTGTAAGAATATAATAATGATACATACAACATCCAAAATCCGTGTTAACCGACTATGTTACTGTAAGGCTCCCAGTCGACAGTAGGCTGTTAGTAGTTAAGTTTGGGGGCCATTTTCAAGGGTCCACCGTACATCTGTTCCACTGTTGGCTGTAGGTGCTTTCCAAGCCCCTCTCTTCCCACACATTCCTCCACTCCACCCCACTCGCTTTTCCCTCTACTTGCAGGTCACGGTCATTAACATGACAGCCACTGATGATTGTACGAAGCCTTGAACGAGTAGGAAATACTGCATCACTAACCGCTTTGTTCCCAAAGGCTATGCTTTTATAAATGGTGAGCAGCTCCCCCAAGGTGCAGATCGCAGATTGGGTCCTTTTCCTGTTGTTGCATATCTCCCCAACCTGAGGATGCATCTGCAGAGAGGAATTTCTTATTTAGATAGCTTTATACTTTGAGGGGGGGAAGGGGGGTGGTTATAAGTCATTCTCAGTAAAAACAAACAAGCAATACCAAACCGTAGAGAATAGAAAGGGCCTCGCCAGCCATCCCCAAGAGATGACTACTCCAAGTGGTCGCATGTATGTTCTTCCAAGTGATTTTTGTATGCACCTAGCAAGGTGTGTGTGCGTATAAAAATAAAGGAGCCCGTGCCCCAATGACGGGTCTGCATCTTGTGTTTCCCCTAAACGGTATAGCTCAGACCCAAGAGCACACCGCCCGATCTACTTTCCTCCAAAGGCTCTGTTGTGGTCCATTGTATCACCACAGTCTGATGCATTTAACCAAGACAGGGAGGCAACCTACAAGTTCAACATCTATGTTATGCTTTTCCTTTTTAGAAACGGGGGTCTCTGTAGACAGGTAGGAATTGGAAGTGCCTGAAGTATTTGCAGTGTGCCCTCAAACGCCCGTCTGGGGCACAGTTCATTCCATGGCTTCCGCCTAGCTGAGCTGAGCTCCCCCTTACTCGGGCAGAGAAGATCCTTTGTGGGACTTCCTGTGGTGTTTCGTACACAGACAGCATAATGCCTAATTTGAAGTGTAACAAGACAGTTTAAATGAAACGTAGCAACAAAGGAGCAAGCATTATGGTTCCCAAAATAGGCCGTATTGTATAGTTTTGACAACTATAAGTCTTGAAACTGAGAGATGTTTTATCTTGCAAGCTTCCTGTTCATTAGCTTTAATGTGCCAAGGCTTTATAAAAATTTCTCTCTCTCCCTCTCCCTCTCCCTCTCTCTCTCTCTCTCTCTCTCTCTCTCTTTCTATCTGCCACAGGGAACCATTAAGAGGAGACAGGAAGGAGATAATTTCCAGTTTCCAGGCATGGCTGACGGGGGTTACCCTAATAAAATCAAGAGGCCTTGCCTGGAAGACGTTACCCTCTCTATGGGCCCGAGTGCCCACCCCAGCACGTCCTGTGCGGAGCTGCAGGTTCCTCCGCTAACCATGAACCCCAGTCCCTCGGCTGTGGGCGTAACGGGCCATTCGTTACCACTCGAAGCGAATCCCATGAATGGCAGTGTCATGGGCTCACCATTCGTGGTGCCGCCGGCTGCAGAAGTGGGCCTGAAAGGGCCCCCTGGCCCCTACTATGACAAAGCCAACAGCGTGCCAGCCGTGGACCAGGAGCTTCAAGACCTCCTGGAGGAGCTAACAAAAATTCAAGAACCTTCTCCAAATGACCTAGATCTCGAGAAGATCCTGGGGAGCAAGCCGGAAGAACCACTGGTCTTAGAACACCCGCAGGCGACCCTGGGTACAACTCCCAAGCCTCCGGTTCAGATGCCACACCTGGAGAGCCTTGGTTCCGGCAAGGAGTTTGCTTCTAGCTGCAGCCAGCTCCCCGGCGCGTCGCTTCAAGTCCCGCCCTCCCCGGCGGGGATCAGCTACGTGATCCCCTCCACCAGTAAGCAGGTGGCCTCCCCCAGCTCTACGGCGGCACAGGCCAAGAGCCAGGTCCAGGGGGTGCTCCCTGTCACTTTGCCCCCGCTCCCGGTGCCTCAGTGGCATCACGCCCACCAGCTGAAGGCGCTGGCGGCCAGCAAGCAGGGGTCCGCTCTGAGGCAGCCGGGGCCCAGCCCCAGCTGGTCGGGCCTGCCGCCTCCGGGCCTCTCCTCGTCTTACCGCCCGGTGCCATCGCCGCACCCGCCGCCGCCGCCGCCGCCGCCGCCGCCGCCACCACCGCCGCCGCCGCCGCCGCCGCCGCAGTTCAGCCCGCAGAGCCTCATGGTGTCCTGCATGGCGTCCAGCAACCTGCCGGGGAGCGCGTTCCAAGCCTCCCCCAACGCCTTACTCGCCAGCATGGCGTCGGGCGGCAGCGCCGCCCTTGGGCCCGCCATGCTCTACCCTCCCGACAAGCTCCCCGGCCCCGCTCTCAGTCAGCAGCCGCAGTTCAGCCCGCAGAGCTCCCTTCTGGCCAACCTGGTGTCCTCTAGTGTCAAAAGTCCGCCGGGACACCTGCTGTCCGCCCTGCCCACCAGCACCCCGGGGCCTTCCCCGCCCTACCGGCCGGAGAAGCTCTCCAGCCCGGGCCTGCCGCAGCAGTCCTTCACCCCGCAGTGCTCCCTGATCCGGAGCCTCACCCCCTCCGGCAACCCGCTAACGCAGCCGCCGCCGCCGCCGGCCCCCCAGCAGTCAACCAGCGGCATCTTCAAGCCCATGACCGCCAGCTCACCCAAAACCCTGAGCATGATCATGCAGCAGGGGCTGGCCAACCCCAGCCCGGGAGTCCCGGAGCCATTTACTTTTGGCAACACCAAGCCCCTGTCGCATTTCGTTTCCGAGCCGGGCCCCCAGAAGATGCCCTCCATGCCCGCCGCCTCTAGGCAGCCGTCCCTGCTCCACTACCTGCAGCAGCCGCCGCCGGCCTCCTCCGCCACCGCCTCGTCCACCGCCACCGCCACCTTGCAGCTGCAGCAGCCGCAGCCTGACCACTCCTCGTTCCTCCTGCAGCAGGTGATGCAGCAGCCCCAGCGCTTTCAGCGGTCGGCGGCCCCGGACTCCATGGCTTCTCTGCCCAGACAGGTAAGACGGGCTCACGTCGGGTCGCGTTCCCTGGTTTTGGTGGAAGTAAGAACCGTGGCCTGTGCTATGGGTAACCTGGCTTTGGAGGCAAATCGGGCTGTAGTCCTCTCTGAGACTGGACTCGACTCTGGAAAAGTCTATTTAAGCCAGCTAATTCCGTGTGGTCCAAGTGCAGTATTAATGAGGCCAAGGTTATGCTTTCAGTTCCTGTGCAGGCCACTTACCTTCTCTGGGAGGAAAAGTGCCCCCGGAAGGTGCTGCCAGGGGAGGGAACCAGGGGCGACAAGTCCCTGCACCGGGCCGCGTGGCGTGTTCCCTCACACAGGGCTAGTGGGGGCTTCGCAGGATGCAAGGAAATTGCACCAAAGCATTTAAATCTTGTCCCTGCTGGCAGAAGGCCACACACTGAGCCTTCTAGAAATGGCACAGCAAACTTCTGCTGAGCAGCTCCGGCGTGCCCTTCAGCACTGCGCTGGACACCGAGGCAGGTTCTAAATGAAAAGGATGGATACGGAGAAAGTAGTTACTCTTAGCATCTCCATTCTACAAAGCAACTGAGGCTCGGAGAGTTGAAATGACTTGCCCAGAGTCACATAGCCAGGGGCAGAGCAGGAACTGGAAACCAGGAAGTCTTAGACCAGAGCCTGTGCTCTTCTCAAAATCACCGTGACTTCTCCCTCTCCCTCATCTACAATCTGATCACTAGACTCAGCCGGTCCTTCCTGGGTGGTGTCGACCGCAGATGCCCCTCATCATTGCTCTGGCCCCTGTCCGTACTGGTTGTCTCTTGCCGGGTAACAAATTACTCCAAAACATCTGCTTAAAACAACACACGTATATCACCTCGCAGTTTCTGTGGGCCGGGAGTCCTGGCATCACTTAGCTGGGTCTTTGGCCTTGAGTCGCTCGTTAAGGTTGCGTTCATCTCCAGCTCAACCAGGAAGGTTCTGCTTCCAAGTTCACTCCCGAGGTTGTTGGCAGGAAGCAGTTCCTTGCAGGAGGTTGGACTGAGGCCTCAGTTCCTCATGAGCTGTTGGCTAGTGGCCTCCCTTGGTTCCTTGCCATGTGGGCCTCTTCATAGAGCATCTCACAACATGGCATCCGGCTTCATCTGAGTAAGCAAGACAGACTGTGCCAGCAAGAGAGGCAGAGGGAGTGCCTGCAAGTCAGAGGGCACGGTCTTTAGAACTTCGTCTTGAAAGTGACATCCCATCTCTTCTGCTGTATTCTGTTCATTAGACACAAGCATGAAGGTGTGAATACCAGGAGGCAGGGGTCGCTGAGGACCATGTCAGATACCTGCCTACCCAGGGCACTGTCCATCCTGGTCCCTCCTTCCCATGGTCTCAGCCCTCCCCGAGTTCAGGCCCTCTTGGTTCTTTGTCTGAACTCAGAGTTGACTTTTAAAGTGGTTTCCCCCAGTAAACCAGCCATCACTCAAAACATTACCTTCAGGACACCCGATGGAACAGGAATCTGATCGTGTTTCACATTTGCTCAGAAGTTTCCAGAGGCCCATCACCTGGCTCCAGCTACCTTCTTAGACTCGGTATTCATCCGGCCCCGTCTGGCACTTGACTTCTATCATCCACTCTGCATTTGGGGCCTTACTCCTGCCATCCCCTGTGCCTGGCTGCCCCTCCCCACCTTCTCCGTCCTGTACCATTCCTACAGCCCCGGAGGCCCAGGCGCCCTCCCCTCCAGGAAGCTTCTCCCCGACCGCCCTGGGTACTTCTGTCTCCCACGCTGCCTCCCTCTTCTGTAGAGCAGCCGAGGAGGACAGCTTGGCCCGGGACCGGGCCTGAGGGAGGCACCTGTCATGGCTGACCTCTCTTCTGAGAGCCCTGGGTGCCTGTGACCGGGGCAGCCCCCGGAGGATAGGACCCGTGTCTTTTTCCTCCATGCCTCACGAAGCAGCCACAAGCAGAGAGCTAGCTCCGCTCCGGGGCACCCGTCCTCGGGGAGGGGAACCGGCCAGCGGCAGGCCCGTGTGTGCCGTCCGGGAGCACTTGTGTTTGAGCTCGCCGTAGGCCCCCTGCCATCTGTTTTCACAGAGCACCAGCGCTGGAGTTCTCACCCGAGCAGGCAAGGGCCTCAGCCTGGGGACACATCACCATCTAACGCTGTGAGCCCTTTGGGGTTTTTTGGCCTCAGTGGGGTACGTTTGTAGCCTGACTGTGTGGCCTCAGAGGGAGAATCCTTAATGCCTGGAGGTGTGAACATCACACCCAACTGATTCCCTAGGTGAGCTGGAGAAAGTGCTCAGGAGAAAGCCCAGCCGCCAAGCTGCCCGAGGCGACCACCACCAGCACAGGGGAAAGGCTGGGCTCCCCGAGCCGAGTGGGAGGTGGTTGCTGCCGCGAGGGGCCTTCCCTGCCCGTGCTGGCCCGTGGCCTCGGGCCGGGCTTGCCACTCCGTGCTTCGCCTGCCTTTTCTCATTTTAGGTCTCAGAGACAGAGGCCCTTATCGCTCCCTGAAAAGCCGAGAAGACTGAGGCACAAAGCAGTCACGCAGCAGCTCAGGGCCAGAGAAGGGAGTCTGTCTTGTCTGTAGAGCCCATACGTGTAACCCCGTGCGTGGGCCGCTAAGTCCAGAGGCTCCCGCTCCTGCCTGGATCTCCTACAAAATGCGCGATAGGCTATGATAGGTTGGTTGAGGATTAAACGCATTAATACGTCCGAAGCATGATGAACAGGGCCCGGCCGCACAAAGTACCTGCCAGTGGAGATTTGCTATCTCTAAGACTAACTCCTGGCCCTGAGTCTCCAGATCCCGTTTCTGGGGGGCCGAGATGTGGCTCTCAAAACCGATGCTGCGTCAGGACAGAATATGAGTAGTGCTCTCTCCAGACAAGACGGACAGCAGTTGTGCAGCCTACTAGCCTCGTGGGTTCTCCCTGTTCCAGGCTCTGCCCCCTCGAGCCAGCTCCAGGCCTGGTGGGAAAGGGAATAGGCCGTGTCCGCCCCGCTGGCGGGGGTCTCTAGCTCACTGCCCCTCGCCCAGCTCCCCGGTCGGTCCATGGCACTCTTCTAGCCAAAATGCGGAGTGGGCCTCTGGGCGCGCCAGCAGCTCTGCTGTTCCTTCTCATGGTCTTTCCCCATTCGCTTGAAGGCCTGAGAGCTCGGCCCTGCTCACTCTTGCAGGGGAACGTGTTCTTGGCCAAACCGAGCCTCGGAAAACCCTCCTGACCTACTACATGGTGATGGAGACTAGCTCGTTTTACCTCCACGTGTGATAATGGTTACCCCAGAAGCACTGGGGTTTCATTTTAACCCAGATTTTGGTTTTTGAAAAGAGTGCTTTCTGAATGTAAGCTGAGAAACCCAACTCTTGAGTAAGCAGAAAAGCCAAGTCCAGTCGTCTAGAGGAGCTCATTTTTATTTGTAGACTCGTATTTCTCAGCTCTGGCAATTTCACTCGACCAGTTAAGTAAACGATCCGATTTCAGTGGGCCATTTGTTTGCACTGAAGGGAAAAGGCAAATGCCATCTGGCTTCAGGGCGGCAGTTTAGCATGGCAGCTGAAGCGAGGGCGTGGGGGGTTCAAGTCCAGGCACCGACACTGACCAGGCTCTCAGCCCCTCTGAGCCTCAGCTGCGTGTGAGCCCAGGAGGAGTGCTGGTCTCTTGGGACATTGGAAGACAAAGGAGGCGCTGAATTGCAATTGCTCAGAGCCGGGAGGCGCTGAATTGCAATTGCTCAGAGCCGGGCCTGGCACACGCTTCGTGGTCAGTCAGGGCTAGTGCAGGCCCCGGGCTGGGATCCGCCACCTCGGAGGTCAGATGCAGTTCCAAGTTTAGAACGTTTGGGGCTTTAGAAAGGTAATATGGTGCATTTGCCAAATATCACACAAGCCTCTGGCAGAACCTGGGGCAGCATTTCATTGTTCTTGCAGAGAAATATGAATATTTAACTAAGTCCACATCAATTTTTGTCCCCAAATAAATTTTGATGCCGATTGTACCAAAATAAGAGCGGCTTTCCGAGCTTTTTGGGTTTGAAGTTCCAGATGAGGGATGTGGACCTGGAATTACGAAGGGAGGGACTCTTTGCAGTCAGGACACCCCAGCCCTGGTGTGTTGGATTGTAATGACCCCCAAATCTCCCCACCCTACTTCCAAGGCTGGGTGACATCTCTGTTCTTAATTGAGGTGAATTTTGTTTCCATAACTTAGGGCTCTTCTCCCTGAAGGCTTATTGGAGATAACGCGCAAAAATCAGTTAGGACTCGAATTTTACCACCAGCCGCTGGTGAATGGAACTTACATTTGCTCAGGGATGAAAGCAGGTCCATCAAGGAGGTAGCTTGAGGGCCCTCAGTGCTGGTGGTTTGCAGAGCTGGGAGTGCAGCATCCTGGGGAGGAGGGATGTGGATGGGGGCCAGTTGGAATAAGAACAAAAAGGCCTGAAATCTGATCCTTGAGGCAGGCCGAGGCACAGGGGAAGGGGGCAGCTGTGGAGAAACAGACCAAAGAGGCACATGATATTGTTTGGACAGATTTGGAGAAGGGCAGGAGGGGAACCAAGGCTGCCTTGAGGAAGGATGAGGCCCCTCCTGGCTTTGCTACGCTTTCTACCTTTACCAATAAGCCTCCTGTCTCCTTAGCCAGGGCACCGGCGACCACCCGGCCATTGCAGAGACCGGGGACAAATTGCCCTCCTTGGGGGGCTGGGCCTGCCATGGGGATCTGGGCAGCGTGGTCTGAAGTGGGGCCTCAGGGAAGCCTGGGGCCTGAGGGAGGCGGCACAGGGCAGGGGACACAGTGGCCTGGGGCCGGGGTGGGGGTTGCTTGGCAGGGGGCAGGCCCCAGGACTGGGCTGGAGGCCAGGTTCAAGGGGGCCCAGGCTTTGGATCCCTAGGGTCCAAGTCGCTGCTCGGCCACTTTTTAATTCGGCAAGCTATTTTCCCTCTCCGGGCCTTAGTCTCCCCATCTGTAAGCTGGAGATACTCATATCCAAGCGCTGGGCATAGGACCTGGCTCACAAAAATGCTCCATCAAT